TAATTATTGATTGAGCATGATTCGCATAATATAACCTAAAATAGGAATAATTTTTCAACCACGACTGACGTGACATCTCTACATCTCTCTCTTCTCACTCCCTATGATGTACGCTGCTTTATCCATTCAACGCTTTAATGTATTGTTAGTTGCATAACATCCCTAGTACCTTCGATCGCGAGTGAAGAGGAAGAGTGAATGCGGGATCACGATTGCGGGAAACTCAATTGAGAAGGCTGTGGCCAGTTGTGAAGGAATCAAAGAAAACAAAACTGTTTATATGTTGATAAATATCGTTACTAGGTGTGGTGTATAGCTTGAAAATGGACAGTGAAAATCGTTTCGGTAAATATAGTGTACAAGAAATAAGAAATGAAGTCAAAGACTTAACGCCTCAAAATACCGTGCGTTCCAAAAAGTATGTTTGGAAACAATTCACAGAATTTTGTGAACAGCGAAATCATCAGCTAAACGAAAATACATCTGATGAAAGACTTGCCAATATTCTCATAGAATGGGCATTTAATATGCGGAAAACCGATGGCAGTGAGTATAAGGACATGGTAGTGAAAACTATTTGGAATAATACAGCTAAATTACTCCAAGAAAAATACTATCATGAATACAATCGAAAATTTGATCCATTCAAAGATATAACATTTGAAGTTGCTAGAAATGCCAAAAATACTAAAAGAAAACAACTACAAAATATTCCGGAAAAACGAAAAAAGTCATGTGTTTCATTTACATCGGAAGAATTGACACAAATTATCCAAAGTTGGGATGAAAATACTCCAAATGGATTACAAAGGAAACTGTATCATATTATAGCAGTGGAATTAGCTTGGCGGGGCGGTGAAGCATGCCGATGTTTGATTCATTATTTCAAGGAAGAAATAAATAACAAGGGAACACCAACTGGAAGACTGGAATATAACCCTATATTCGCGAAAACCGCACAAGGTGGATCAAAAAATATTGCAGAAAGTAAATGGCTTGTGTCAAATAAAGAAAATCAAGAAAATTGTCCAGTTCGTTTATTCAAGAAATTGATGTCAAAAAGGGGAGAGAACATTAAAACTGATCGACTATTTTTGACAGTTAATGGTAATTGGAATAAAGATCATAAAAGTCCTTGGTTTAAAAATATGCCAATGGGTATAAATGGAATAAGTAAATGGACCACATTGTCAGCTGAAAAGATCGGTTTAGATACAAAAAACGTGAAAATATCAAACCATTCAAACAGATCTACAGCTGTGAGTCAATTGGCAAGTTCTGGAATTGGGGAACAACAGATAATAAAAGTTACTGGGCACAGTAGTTCAATGTCATTGAAACCATATTTACAACTGAGCAAAGAACATCATGCTGATATAATATCAAACCTCAGAAAAGAAGATAATATGGATATATCCACGACGGTTGCATCTAGTAGCAGTAATGATGAATGTCACTATGTCAAAATAAATAATTGCAATAACTGTACATTCAATATAAATATTAACAATAAATAGGTAGTGAAAATGGTTTATTTTTCATTCATGAAATAATCTTGACAAATACAACACGTGTAATTGATGATTATCGAAAATTCCTCCTTTTTTTCGAAACAAATTGTGTTGCTTTTAGGCAACCACACTCGCGCTATGCGCTCGTGTGGTTTCCAAGCAACACAATTTGTTTCTCAAAATCGAAGGAATTTGTGTTTCGATAATCATCAATACACTTGTTGTATTACAAGCGATTATACCATCATGCACCCTGCAATATCTATCAACATTAACACAATTCCATTTGAGAGCATATTATACAGGGTGTATCTAAATAACAACGAAAAAATTCAAATGGTGATTCCTTGTGATATTTTAGGAAACGAAGTTCATTTAAACATGTGTGATACAGGGTGTTAATATTTCCATGGAAAATCTTTTTTCTATTCATTTCTCAATTGTCTCTCCATCAATTTCAATAAAACGTTGTGGTTTTGTAAATAGTAATATGGAGCTTCTTCTAGTGCAAGTGCAATTAGATCGAAATAATATCTCCAGTAGCGTCACAGTGGGTAAATTTATCGATATTTATAATGAATGTCATTGTACGCCACCGGTTTTTCTGAGTTCCATATTTTCATCAGATTGAACTATTAAAATAACAACTTATTTATCCTTTGTGTGATTTTTGTATCTAGATTAGTTTGTGAGAAAACAATAAAAATTCGATTTGACTCAAAATTTTGAATGTAGATGAGTTCAAAAAAAAATTTTAGAATTCTCTCAACATTCTTAGATTTCTTCTCAAAATTTCTAGAAGAAATAAATTTTTTTTTTCATAAAATGCAATAAGAGAATTTGTGGCGCTAATACGCCGTTGCCGTTGATTCATCTTCATAGTTTCTTGATGTTTCCTCCAGGTTTCAGAAGGAGAACCTGTTTCGATCATGCGCAGCACCACTAAATAAACTCGAAACTCCAACGCGGTACTTTCCCAATAATTTTCACGAAGAATTTCGTCCTGGTGTAGGTGCGGCCCTCCAGGCCCTTCAAGTAGAGTAAAAACTTGATCAAAAGTGTTTCCTCTATATTTACTCCCCAACACTGATGAGCACTTTATTGTTCAGTAGAAGACACTACTTCATTAAGATATTATTCGAAAATTAAATTCAAAATCTCATTGTCATTAAATATTCAATTGACGTACTCGATATTTCTTCCATTTTTTGTACAATTTTCGAGATGAAGTCTCTTGTTAATTTGAAGACCCAGGAGAATTCGAATAATTTTGGAATTTTCGTTTCAACTGAAGCATATTTTTGTGTTCAATAAAACTTATTTCGATAATACCACTCTGCAATATACAGGGTGTTTCATGAGAAGACTCACATAGTCAAATCGTTAATAGGGGAAATCGAGACGAGTTGATGTATATATATGAAAACATTTTTTGACCCTCCATAACGAAGATACAGGGTATTATGTGAAATTGCTATATAACTTTGATGGTCGATATTACAGAAATTATTCGTCGTAATCTGCTGAAATTTGGCAGCGACGTTTCTCTACTGAAACTATTGAAGATAACATATTATGAAAAGAAAAAACCAGGTCCGCACTTGGGAAATTTTTATGTTTCATTGTTATGTCAAAAAAGTTCACTTTGTGACCACTTTTCTCGAAAAATTCCATCAGATTCAGAAAGATCAGACAAAATGCTATAAGAACTGTTCTTCAATTTACACGACACACTTTGACCGGTTCAATAAAAAAATATGGAACAAAAACGTTCGAATGAATTTCCAATTTCGACCTGGCTGATAACTCTCAACTTTTAACTGGATTCGTGTAAATTGATTTTTCTGTACATTTTTATTGAAAAGAAATTGACAGAAGAGATCAGTTCAGATTTGTTTATGATTTAACATGTTAGTTTTTGACCGAACTTCTAGATAGATATGATTACTCGTGGTTCTATATTATAAATTTGTTATAAAGTGGCCCTTTTTTTATGTTATGTAACGTGGCGTTTGTTGATAGGTAAACACTGGTAGTCGAAATATTCTTACACTCTAGGTGCCACTTCATATTTCAAATGCTGAACAAGACGAAAATCCAAATGCCATGCTATGTTTAATACCATAGAATATTTCCAGACCCAAGAATACGTTGCAGTAAAACCTTCACGAGGATGAACATTAGGAATTTTGAATAAATAGCAAATGGATCCTTATATCACTTGCAGAAGTGTATCAATAACAAAAAATAGAGCTGACTTTATGCGTGATGGCATAACTAATTTGATAAATCACCATAATATGGGCACATGAATTCCTATGTCGTAATGTCATCAGTTGGTACCTACCTAGTACTAGCCTAGTACCGACCTATCAGTTCGGATTATCAACAAACGTCACGTCTCGTCACAGAAATGAACAGGACCTACTAGATATCTCACTTCAAGCGACACCCATAAAACAAAGTCAGGAATAATAATAATTATCTGGAATTTCGATAAAAAATATCGCGTTTCTTCTTCTCGTCTATCTTTCTGTCAACTACTATTCAACAAAAATGTAGAAAAAATCAATTCACATGATACTAATTGAAAGTTGACAGTTATCAGCCAGGTCGAAATTTAAAATAATTCATTCAAACGATTTTGTTCCATATTTTTTTATTGAACCGGTCGAAGTGTGCCGTGTAAATTGAAGAGCAGTTCCAATAGCATTTTGTCTGATCTTTCTGAATCTGATGGAATTATTCGAGAAAAGTGGTCACAAAGTTAACTTTATTGACATAACAATGAGACATAAAATTTACCCAAGTACGGACCTGGATATTTTTTTTCATGATATGTTATCTTGAATAGTTTCAGTAGAGATACGTCGCTGCCAAATTTCAGGATATTACGACGAATCATTTCTGTAATATCGACCATCAAAGTTATATAGCAATTTCACATAATACCCTGTATCTCCGTTATGGATGGTCAAAAAATGTTTTCATATAAATACATCAACTCCTCTTGTTTTCCCCTATTAACCATTTGGCTATGTGAGTCTTCTCATGAAACACCCTGTATATCAACATCAACTATATTCCATTTGAGAGCATATTATATGTTCATTGAATATCAAGCATAATTATAATTATTATTTTATCAAAAATGATAATACTGAGCGATCCCCCTGTATTGACCGCGAAATAGGTACAATCGTCCTGAAGAAAAAACTCAGAATTCTCTCAACATTCTTTGATTTATTGAAAAGGAATATTGTCAGATAAAATTATGAACATAAAAAAATGGATATACAGGATGATCCACGGTGGATGGCCTATTAGAAGTATCTGGAGAACGAAGACGACAGAACTTTCTGAAAATCAGGATGCTCTGATAACTGAACATTCTCTATCCGTCTAAAATATTTTTATAATAAGAGAATTTGTGGCGTTCATACGCCGTTGCCGTTGATTCATCTTGATAGTTTCTGATGTTTCTTCCAGGTTTCGGAAGGGAAAACTGTTTCGATCATGCGCGGCACGACTAAATAAACTCGAAACTCCAACGCGGTACCTCCCAAACGATCCTCACGATGAGTTCGGTCCTGTTGGAGGCACGGCCTTTCAGGCCCTTCCGGTCCAGCGAGGAGTACCTGTACGCCATGAAGGAGGACCTGGCCGAGTGGCTGCAGACCATGTACCCCCACCTCAACATCGCCGTGGAGAACTTCATGGGGAAGCTGGAGACCGGAGTGGCCTTGTGCGAGGTTAGTGCTGAAGACACTTTTCACGACCTGTCACACATCGAAATACAGGGTGATTCACATAAGAACCGACATAGAGCAGGGGCATGTAGGGGGTCCCAAAATATGGAAAGGATACCGCACACTTTAATGAGGAAATTGGCCCCCTGTCGAATTGGCTGAATTTTTGATATGTTTTAGTCCAAGTCATTCCAAACAAAAAGTTCAATGGGCACAACTTTTTCTATAGGCTAGTTTTGGCACTAGAGGCACTTGAAAACTTTCATTTGTTCTTCATTGTTCTACAACACGGAACGTTATTCTGGGTAATAATCACTATTCTGCATAATCAAGATCTGAACAGTCATCAATATCAGATACTATCGGAAGTATTCTTGTTCAGTGTTGTTACATTTGGTCAATTATACAGTGTGTTCTAGCTACTTACAACTTCCAAAGTTCAATAATTCGAAAATGGTTACAAATCGTCTTAGGGATCTACAATGAGAAAATGTTTATGAATCCTATCCTACATCGTATTCTACATCACATAGTCAAAAAATATAAGGAGTGTTCATTGTAAAAGAAAACGAAAGTTCCAACATTCGAAAAATTCCGTAGCTACTATTGATATATTCTCAGATGGAAAACCCTGTGAGTTATTAGATGAATAATTAGGGTTCAGTCAAGGGTTTTCTATTATATAGAGTCGACGATACCAGGTTGAATGAGTACGTAAAATGTAACATATAATTGAGTTATAGCCTATTATTTTCTCCATATTACATTTATACTGAATGTGCGACTAGAGGCTTGGTTGACTTAGGAGGAGTTTTTCCGCGATACTCCTTGAGCATCAATATAATAATCATTATTGATACTCATTTGACAAAACCCTATCAAAATGATATACCACTTTGTTATATTTTCCATGAATTCCATCATTAATTTGAAGTATTAATAGATATAATATATGGAACACACTGTATAATTGATCCTTGCAATGAACAATACTTCCAATAGTATCTCATATCAATGACTGTTTCGATCTTGATTATGCAGAATAGTGATTATTACCCAGAATACCGTTCGTGTTGTAGAACAATGAAGAACAAATGAAAGTTTTCAAGTGCCTCTAGTGCCAAAACTAGCCTATAGAAAGAGTTGTGCCCATTGAACTTTTTGTTTGGAATGGCCTGGACTATACCATATCAAAAATTCAGCCAATTTGACAGGGGGCCACTTTCCCTATTAAAGTGTGCGGTATCCAACGCAACTTACCTCTATACCAAGTTGCTTCCCTAAGGAGATATAGGCTTTGAAAGTGAAGTAATACATTTTGAAAAAAATCAATATCTCCGTTATTCTTGAACTTAAAGCAACCAAATTTGATACACTTTGTGGATGTATTTAGGGCGTTACTTGACAGTAACTAGAGTTTAATTGAAATTTGTAAAGAGGGTATACCGGGTGGCGCACCATTAATATTCAACATAATTTTGTTAACACTTGGTGGATTTCAAAAATCTTTGCTTTGTTTTGTGGGCAATTCAATTCTAAAACTTTTCTTACTCTAGTAATTTTTCGAAAAACCTCATCATTTTCATCAAAAACTCGAATAACTGAAAACGCGCGCTCTAGGTGTGTTATTTAAAATCATCGAAAATTCAAAAGTTGGCTATGAAAATAAACGTCAAACTTGACAATGAGGCAAGTGAGCTGTTCAATTAAGTAATTGTTGTTTGAGTGTTTCTGAAATGAACGGAAAGTTTTCTTTTAACGAGCAAGTTGACATGCTGTTAGTGTTATGCCTATAACTCCTTACGGAAGCAACTTGGTATAGAGGTAAGTTGCGTTAAATTGCCATATTTTGGGACCCCCTACATGCCCCTGCCCTATGTCGGTTGTTATGTGAATCACCCTGTATAGTATATTGTTTAACGAGCACGGAATGATAGGGATTTCCCACGAGAATGAAGTTTGCAGCATGAACCATAGGCGAATGCTGCAATCATTCGAGTAGGAAATTAGCATTCCGTGCAAGTTATACACTATAATTTTTCTACGGCTATAACTCTTTCAAGTACTTTGGTGCAGAATTTGAACCACGAATTTCTTGGAGTTAGAGGTATGCTGGGACAAAATATATCCCGCTCTGCAATGGACTTATGATTTGTGGTACGACGGTTTATTTTCTCTCCCGCCCCATATTACTCACTCATTATGGTCTTTTGAATCATATGTTCTAAGCTGAAGCGAATAAAACAATACATTATTAGTGAATAGAATAAACTCGAAACTTGTTCCCGAGCTTGTTCCGTACGTTGTGTTTCTCCTCTCGAATTGCGGCTGCAAATTTCATGCTAATCATGTTATTACATTTTTTGTTGCATTAAATACTATCTAGGCAACATAGGTAACCTACTTGTTATATTTTTCCAACTTATATGTTTATTTTTCGTTCACAAAATGTGAAAATCTACGCTGTTTGAAATTTGTCCCACCATACAACATGACCAAGACATTTTTCAAGGATAATGATGAAGAAAATGATGTCGAATTCAATTTTAACAACATCATACTGTCTGATATGGATACATGGGGCCCAGAAGATTTGATACCCCGATTGCGGAGTTGAAACCAGGGATAGAGAAAAAAAATGGTGTGGAGTGGATGAGATCGTTCAGCCAAAAGATTTCAATAGAACCTCTGGAGTGGCTCAAGATGGATAATCTCTCTCGTCAGTTCATCACCGACAAATTATTGAATCACATAGTTTTCCAGATCAATCTATATACCAAGCAAAATTATCAGACGACTAGAAAGACATATAAAGGAACAGATATTCATGAAATCTTTTCCTTGGATGCCGCTATTAATGAAAGATATGATCATTTAGTCGACAATAAATATCAGTATCTTCATCGAGAACATCAATCGAATGGACGAGTCAAATAAAGAAAAACACTCAGTCAAAGCCCGGTAATGAGAGTCACACAGGGTGCTCATCAACCTATCCGAACAAGTCGAAAAAGATAATGCTCCTTGCAATTTAGGAAAGTTTGAAGTTGGAACAAACTGGTTGTGTGTTCCACTCTGTCTTGCAAAGAACAAAACATGATTGCAGACGTGATTTGATATGAATCGATTCTCATGAAATCTTTCACCTTATGGAATGGTGGGTTAGATTTTGACCCACCGTTTTTTTGTAAAAATTGTAAAATTCTGAAATTTTTTCACATTCGTTCGTATCTTTTGAGACATTTGGAGTTAGTTTGTTAATTAATCTCTTGAAAATCTGAAGAAAAATAAAGCTGTACATCTAGGGGGTGTTATATTTCGAAATTCCTGTACCTGAAAGAGATAATAGATAACAGCGGCATCTTCGATTTCTTCGTCTTGTAGCCATCTGATTTCCTGTCAAGAATGATGGAAATAAGTATTTTTTTCCGTATTGAAAACTTGAGAAATATTACTCGACCGCCTACTATGATTTCTCTACGTCACATCGAGCGAGACGTTGAGTCAACATTTTTCCGCTAGATGTTGATGCTGCTATTGCTGCTGTGACGAGTGGAAATAAAATGGCATGTTAGGTACGCGGAACATATGTAACAGTTGGATTATTTAACTCTGAATTCGAAAAATCTGCGGCAATTTAAAAAATTTACCGATGTCATAATTGTGAAATGTCGCCATCTATCCGAAAACAGCTAAAACAGCTACGTGTCTCGTACTCCATTCAGGACATCAATTAGTGAATGAATAACCACAGTATGTAACAGGGGTGGACAAAAAATAATCTGTGCATATTTTCAACATTGACAAGTTAGGAATTAACTCTTTCAGGTACAGGAATTTCGAAATATAACACCCCCTAGATGTACAGCTTTATTTTTCTTCAGATTTTCAAGAGATTCATCAACAAACTAACTCCAAATGTCTCAAAAGATACGAACAGATATAAAATAATTTCAGAATTTTCCAATTTTTACAAAAAAACGGTGGGTCAAAATCTAACCCACCATTCCATAGGGTGAAAGATTTCATGAGAATCGACTCATTTCAAATCACTGTGAAACGTCTGCAAACATGTTTTGTTCTTTGCAAGACAGAGTGAAACACACGACCAGTTTGTTCCAACTTCAAACTTCCCTGGATTGCAAAGAGCATTATCTTCTTCGACTTGTTCGGATAGGTTGATGAGCACCCTGTGTGACTCTCATTACCGGGCTTTGACTGAGTGCTTTTCTCTTTCTGACTCGTATATTCGATTGATGTTCTTGATGATGATACTGATATTTATTGACGACTAAATGATCAAATCTTCCATTGATAACTTTCAAACATATTGAATATTCTGCGAAGAATAAATGAGTTGACTACAGCGACATCCAAGGAAAAGATTTCATGAATATCTGTTCCTTTATATAACTCTCCAGTCGTCTGATAATTCTGCTTAGTATATAGATTGATCTGGAAAACTATGTGATTCAATAATTTGTCCGTGATGAACTGACGAGAGAGATTATCCATCTTGAGCCACTCCAGAGGTTCTATTGAAATCTTTTGGTTGAACGATCTCATCCACTCCACACCATTTTTTTCTCTATTTCTGGTTTCAACTCGATATTCATATCAGACAGTATAATGTTGTTAAAATTGAATTCAACATCATTTTCCTTATCATTATCCTTGAAAAATGTCTTGGTCATGTTGTATGGTGGGTTAAATTTCAAACAGCGTAGATTTTCACATTTTGTGAACGAAAAATAAACATATAAGTTGGAAAAATATGAAAAGTAGGTTACCTATGTTGCCTAGATAGTATTTAATGCAACAAAAAATGTAATAACATGATAAGCATGAAATTTGCAGGCGCAATTCGAGAGGAGAAACACAACGTACGGAACAAGTTTCGAGTTTATTCTATTCACTAATAACGTATTTATGTTTTATTCGCTTCAGCTTAGAACATATGATTCAAAAGACCAATATGAGTGAGTAATATGGGGCGGGAGAGA